GGGACTACAGCTCCCAGGTAACCTCTGATTCCGGAAGTCACGCCCACAGCCCGCCCCCCAGCGCCATCTTTACAACATACAGCCCAAGAGAAGGACCACATGGAAGGCGGGAACCACAGATCCCGGAGGGGGAAAAAAAAAACAGGTTCCAAAAAGAGCCGAGATCACTGGGAAGTCCCAGATGGGGTAGGTACCACATCCCGCCTCCCCCAGATGGAACCCCGGTGACCAGAAGCCTCTACAAGCACAGCTCGAGTATGCGGGAACTAGGACTTTTTCTCAAAACCGCGTGGCCGCGCGACATCTCTCTATATACAAAGTGATCAATGGGAAGTAAACCACCCAACCTTTCTCCCTGAAAATCAGAGTTAAGTTTGGAGCACGGCCACAGCCCCAGAAACACAAGGACTTAATGCAGAACCCAGCAGCTTGGAGCAGAAAAGTGAACGGACTATGCGTTAATCCAGGCCATCATGTCTGCCGGGAGGGGAAAGGGTGTTGCCGTATTCGCCCTCTCTTCTCTGGAAAGAAGGATGGCGGCCACATGGCAACTTGTGGACAGCAGGTATGAGCCGGGGGTGTGGGGGCGACTAAAACCTCATGGGAAGGGGGGCGTTCCGGTCCATCCTTCACGCCCTACCGAGGTCACCAGTTGCCCCCCATGAGCGGTTCTCCAGCACGGCCACAGACCCAGAAGCACAAGGACTTAATGCAGAACCCAGCAGCTTGGAGCAGAAAAGTGAATGGACTATGCGTTAATCCAGGCCATCAAGTCTGCCGGAGGGGAAAGGGTGTTGCCCCATTCGTCCTTTCTTCTCTGGTAAGAAGGATGGCGGCCGCATGGGAGCCTTGTGGACAGCAGGTATGAGCTGGGGGTGTGGGGGCGACTAAAACCTCATGGGAAGGGGGGCGTTCCGGTCCGTCCTTCATGCCCTACCGAGGCCACCAGTTGACCCCCACAAGCGGCTCTCCAGCACGGCCACAGCCCCAGAAGCACAAGGACTTTATGCAGAACCCAGCAGCTTGGAGCAGAAAAGTGAAAGGACTATGCGTTAATCCAGGCCATCAAGTCTGCCGGAGGGGAAAGGGTGTTGCTCCCTTCCGCCCTCCTCCCTCTGGAAAGAAAGATGGCGGCCACATGGGAGCCTTGTGGACAGCAGGTATGAGCCGGGGGTGTGGGGGCAACTAAAACCTCATGGGAAGGGGGGTGCTCTGGTCCATCCTTCACGCCCTACCGAGGTCACCAGTTGCCCCCCACGAGCGGCTCTCCAGCACAGCCACGGCCCCAGAAGCACAAGGACTTTATGCAGAACCCGGCAGCTTGGAGCAGAAAAGTGAAAGGACTATGCGTTAATCCAGGCCATCATGTCTGTCCAGAGGGGAAAGGGTGTTGCCCCATTCGCCCTCTCCTCTCTGGAAAGAAAGATGGCAGCCGCATGGGAGCCTTGTGGACAGCAAGTATGAGCCGGGGGTGTGGGGGCGACTAAAACCTCATGGGAAGGGGGGCGTTCCGGTCCGTCCTTCACGCCCTACCGAGGTCACCAGTTGCCCCCCACGAGCTGCTCTCCAGCACGGCCACAGCCCCAGAAGCACAAGGACTTAATGCAGAACCCAGCAGCTTGGAGCAGAAAAGTGAATGGACTATGCGTTAATCCAGGCCATCATGTCTGCCTGGAGGGGAAAGGGTGTTGCCCCATTCGCCCTATCCTCTCTGGAAAGAAAGATGGCGGCCGCATGGGAGCCTTGTGGACAGCAAGTATGAGCCGGGGGTGTGGGGGCGACTAAAACCTCATGGGAAGGGGGGCGTTTCGGTCTGCCCTTCACGTCCTACCGAGGCCACCAGTTGCCCCCCACGAGCGGCTTTCCAGCACGGCCATGACTCCAGAACACAGAAACCAATTTCTTAACTATCTGACTTTCAGTAGAAATACTTCCAGGGTCAATAGGTAAAATAGCAGAAATCCAAAACCAACATTTAATTCTTGAACCCAGCTGTAGAAAGCAAATCATTTCACAATACTTTTTCAGCATGTCTGATTTGGGGGGGTAAACTCTAAATAATAGTGGTGAATCTTTTATTGAAACAGTGAATGTAATCAAAGCAGATAGAGTGTTAACTAGAATTCATCTGCCTCACAGGGACTGGGAGGGGTGGGGGGTGGGGTTTTATTGGGGTTCTTCATGGTAAAAAATATGTATTGGTAAAGGGAAATGTGTTTGATATTTGCATGACTGAGACCTAAACCTGAAAGCTTTGTAACCTTTCCCACAGTGATTCAATAAATAAAAAATAAATAAATAAATAAATAAATGAAACCCACTGATACCAAGTTTGTGAGATTTCTCTGTTCTCATATAACCATCTAATTTCTAAACTAAAATATAGTATTAGCAGCAGAATTCCACACCAGGAAAAGGAAAAGAAGCAAGCATATATATCACCTATTTTATGGGTCCATTGCATGTTCAGTGTGTTAGCTCATTTATTATTTTAATTTTCATAATCTAATATAAATTTAATTATATTTTTTACATTTTCTAGCTTTATAAGCCATACCCAGCAGTGCTCAGGTGATGCTCTTGGTGATGCTCAGGGATCACAAGTGGTGCTAGGGATTGAAGCTGGTCAGGTGTGTGCTAGACAAGTGCCTTCATGCTTGTACTATCTCTCTGGCTCCAGGAGTCACTGCACTATTTCTCTGGTCCTGGATTCAAGACTTCTTATTAAAAAATAATGCAATACATTAAAGGACAGAGACTGACAGAGCAGACTGAAAAATAGAATCTAAATAAATATGGCTGTCTACAACCCCCCCAAAGTTATAAGTATATAACTAAAACAGAGAAATAAGTATGATGAAAATATTACTCGAATGAAGTGACACTGATATAAGATAAAGTATATTTTATAACAAAATTATCAGAGATGGAGAACATTATATATTGGTATACTAATCACTCCACCAAAAAGATAAAAAATAAAATTATGTGTGCCAAACAACAGTGCTGCAAAACTTGTGGAACAAAAATGATTGACCAGAATACAGAAACAGGCAACTCACCCCACCACAGCTGGAGATTCAACTTAGCAGTACTTGACAGAATAAACAAAATCATCGAGAGGATAGAACAACTTTTCTCAACTGGGGACCACGTAGGCTCCCCTTTTGGGACCCCAGAATATTCCAGTGGGGCCACAGGTAACAATAGTGTAAATGCCATGGCACAAGACTAAGAGGCAGGGCAGGGAGACCATAGAAATGAAATAAGGTTGGAAAAGGGTCAGGGCCAGAAAAAAGTTGAGAAACATTATAGAAGAACTCAACACAACCAACAAATAGGATCACAATGACATGTATAAAACATTCCTCTTAATAGCTGTAGCATATACATTGTTTTCAAGCACACATGGAACATGTATCATGACATACTATATATTGGCCATAAAATAAATCTCAACAAAATTTTAAAACTTGAAATGATAAAGTTTGTTTTTTCAACACAATGGAGTCAAAACTAGTCAGTAACATAAAGATAGTTGGAAACTAAAGTCTTATTTCTAAATAATCTATGAGCGGCGTGGAGGAATAGCATAGGGGCTGAGTCTTGTAAGCATACGGTAACAAGTTCTAATTCCTGGTGTCCCACGTGCACTAAGCATGATCCTGGCAGATCTGCTGTCTATGATCCAGAGTAAGTAATACGAGCAATTTCTGGCCATGCTATAGCTAGATGTATATAAAAACAACAAAAAGGGATGCCGTTTCTACAAACAGGAAGAATGGCTTTTATCGAGCACATGTTTGAGCAGCACTGTGAACCCCTGGCAAGCACTATGAACACAACTTATTTACCTCAACTAAGAGTGCTCTTTTTGGAGAATATGTGTGCAAGTTACACAACTAAAGGAGTGCAAACCTCAGTGATTACACTTTGGCCAATTCTGCAAACGCAATAATCTGATATGTGACCTTTGGTGAACCTGAGCTAAAATGTGTGAGCACAACAGGCATCTGTATGTAAATCCAGATCATCACTATATCAACAACAAAGGAAAAGAGAGGGAATAAGTAAAATAATCCATGAGTGAGTCTCAAGGGAAAACAAGTGAATGAAATAGAACATCAAAATTTGTGGGTATAAGTTTACATGATGATAGTTTATAATGCTGGCTAAAATTAAAAAATTGAAGTGTGGAAATGGAAGAAATTTGAAACATTTCTGGTTCTTTACATTCTGTTTCTTTTTTCTGGTTTCTACTCTCTGTATGCAGTATTTGTTGTTTTTCAAAGTTACTGCTCTTAGTAAAAGTTGCCTGTTATAAAAAAAACAAACAAAAACAAAATTTGTGGGTATAGCTAAAAAGAATGAAATGTGTAACACCAAGTGCTTATACTGGAAAAGAGGAAGTGTTTCAATAAGCTAAGATTCCAACCCAAGAAGCTAGAGAGTAAAATAAACCCAAATAAGCATGAGATATAATGAGAAAAAATAAATGAAATTTAAAAATAAAGAAATATAAGTGGTTTTGTGTAATGAGCAATAAAATTCACCAACCTGTTCTGGCCCTCTATATATAGATGTCATCACTAGGAAGCCATATTAAAATAAAGTAACTTCAATAAATCGGATTAGTATGAGTCTATGTAATTCTTTTCAAAGACTAATACATGGCACTGATTTTTGTATGAGATTTGGAAATTCTTGTCTCCTATAACTTATCATAATTTCAGATTGAACTTCAAAGAATTCCCATTCTGTAAATGGGAATATAAAATATTCTTAGATAAATCAGCTTACTGATCTATCCTTAGCTTTGTATAATCACCTACTAGTCTGAATGAACTGATGAACATGGTATACACCTTTATATTATAAATGTTTAAGGGTCTATTCAATGTCTCTTCCCAATACAGATAACCACAACATACTTATCCCCTAAGTCAAAGGTGTAAGAATTTATGTGAGAGAATACAAAATACAAAGGTGTAAGAATTTACCTGAGAGAAGGCTGAGGAACACTGTCTGGACTGGCTGGTACTTGGACTCCTTTCTCCCACTCTTCCTTCCATGTATCCGCAAATAGGTAATAGCTGTCAGGATTAATATGGTGAGAATCTGGAATTTTCATAGCACTGATGAGGTCCTTCCGGAACACCTGGGAAGACAATGCATTGAGACTGCTATGGAATGGAATGGGTAACACTTGATGTCATTTTACTTACTGAATTCGTTAAACATTTCAATTCTTTTTTTCAGTGTTTATTATTAAACATTTTATTATTGAAGTTATACAGTTACAAGTGTTAATACCAGTATTATCTCCTTGGTTCATAACTTTCACACTTTTATAACATACTGGACATATTTTACAGAACATCTCCACAATTTGGTTTTTTGTTGTTTTCTCATGATTACTGTTATTTGCTTTGGGATAAGAATATCACTGTAATGAAGTTTCATACTTCTCATTACATTATATATTTATGATATCAATGTCTTATTAATGGTCTTGCTTAAGTCTTGCTGGCTTTCTCTGTTGTTAGGTTGGTATATTTCCCATTCTAATTCATAAATTTGTAGAGGAGATACTGAGAGTATAAAAAACTCCTACTTTCCCTCAAACTGTCATGGATCAGTATCTACTGGTGGATATTCTGCCTACAACAATTATTAGCAAGTTGTTCTATTGATAACTTTCTTATTTCTTACATTCAGTGATAGAATTTCATATAATGTGCAAATAAAAGTTTTGCATCGTCTTTATCTAGTCATGTCTCTTACTGATTTCTCTTATTTAACTGCTAATAATGACCAATATTTGGAAAAATAACAGATAATACCTGTTATTTTATAACAGAGCATATCTCTCTTCTTCTGAAACTAGTGGAAATGCCTCTGGTGTGTCCCCATTACGTGATACTACTAGGTTTAGGACTGTAGCATATATATAGACATATATATATATATTTCAGTATTAAAGTATCTTACAGTTCTTAGTGTCTTGAATGTTTATGAGTGGGTGTCAAATTTTGTTAAAATCTTCAGTGTATTATATCTTCAGGAAATAATTTGTTTCTTAGTTATATTAATATTCTGTATGATAACATTGAATTTCCTTTTTGAATTGATTTTGGACTACACAGGTTTGTGCTGATAGGTTGAATTAGGGCCATCTGAATGTAAAGGATATGAGCTAGATTGTTGTGCTATTTCTCTAACACTTCTAACTTTGTGGGGGATATACCTTATCTTTTATAGAGGTAACGTTGATTTGCAAGACCGTAAATGTTTTAGGCGTACAATGTAACCATACTACACCCACCACCCAAGTATCAATATCCTGCTACCTGCTACCACAATTCACTTGATCCCCTCCATACTTTTGTTTTTGTGCCACAATTGGTGATGCTCAAGTGTTACTCCTGGTTTTTCACTCATAAATTACTTCTGCTAGTACTCAGGGAACCATATAGGATATTGGGGATTGCACCTGGGTTGGCCATGTGTATTTGCTATCTCTTTGCCCCCTTCAACACTTTTTAGTCCACTCCTCAAGTCCTTGGTAAAATTAGTTATATTCCCAGTTTGATTGTTTTGTTGGACTGTATCTGCTCCCTTGCTTTGTTCATTTATATACCACACAAGAGAGATCATATAGCATTTGTTTCTCTCCTGACATACTTCACTTATGATCCTCTAATTCCATACACGTAGCAAAAATTCCATCTTTTCTAATAACTGAATAATAATCCACTGTGTATATAAACCACATTTTCTGTATCCACTTATCTGTCCTTGGGTCCTTGGGTTATTTCTTGGCTTTTGCAAGTAGTGCTGCAAGAACATAAGCATGCATCCCTTTTCTGTTGTGCTTTTGTGTCACACCCAGTGGTGCTCAGGGAATTAACCTGGGTAGGCCTTATACAAGGCAAGCGCCTTAACCACTGATTATCTCTTTTTGAATTAGTGTTTTAGTGTTCTTTTAATAGATTCCTAGCAGTGGAATTGCTAGATCATATGATAGATCTATTTTTAATATTTTAAGAAACCTTCATACTGTTTTCCAGAGAGGCTGGACCAACTTACAAGTTCACCAACAGTGCATACATAAGGATTTTCTTCCTTTTTAAGAAATCACATTCCTTCCAGCACTTGATATTGCTGGCCTTCTAAAAATTTTGAATATTTTATTGAAGCATGATGATTTATCAAAGTTATCCATGACTTAGTTTCGGCATACAACATTCTAACATCAGTCCCTTCACCAGTGTCCACTTTCCTCTACCAACATCTTCAGTTTCCCTCCCACCAATCAGCCTGCCTCTATGACAGGCATTTTTCCTTTTCCTTTTAAGCACTGTGGTTTGTAATAAGGTTTTATGCATACTTTACCACCTCTTGCTCCACAGTGGCCACTTCCCTCCACCACAATGTCCCTTTGCTATAAGATTCCTATGAAAGATCAGTTCTCAACTTCTGCTACTCTTGGGTATTGAGTGGAATTGCTGGGTCATATCAATTCCTAGTTTTTTGAGGAGTGTTCATATTGTTTTCAAAAGGGCTGGACCAGTAGACATTCTCACTAGCTGACATTCCCACCACATCCTCGCCAATAATGGTTGCTTTGTTCTTTTTGATGTATGTCAGTCTCTGTGGTGTGAGATGATATCTTGTTGATTTGATTTGCATTTCCCTGATGATTACAGGTATAAGGTGTTAGGTTATTGTTTGATTTGCATTTTCCTGATAATGTTATAATAAGGATCTTTGGTTTTTTGGGGGGAGACCACACTTGACAGTGATAAGGATTTACTCCTTGCTCTGTGTGCAGGGATCATTCCTGACAGGGCTCAAGGACCATACGTGGTGCTGTAAATGGAACCAGGGTTGGCTACATGCCCTGATATTTTTTTCATGAGTCTGTTGATGATTTGTATACCTTTTGTTTTGTTGTTCCATCTGGCAGTGCTCAGGGGTCACTCCAGATAGTGCTTGGGGGACAGTGTGTTGCCAGAGAGAAAATCTGATTTCCTGTATGTAAAGATCTAGCTCTTTGAGCTGTTTTCCCTTTTTACTTACTTTATTTTTTGGAGTAGCTTTTATAACCCTTGAATTATAGCCCTTGTTAGATATGTGGTGTATGAAAATATCCCAGTCAGTGGGATGTATTTTTTATTTCATCAGAAATTTCTTTTGCTGTATAGAAACCTTTTTTTTCTTATGCCAGGATTTTTATTTTTTTATATTTTTATGTAGGAGTACTGCTATTTATTCAGCCACTGATTAGCTGATTGAATTGTGCATGAACTCCACCTTACTTTTTTCATTTTTTATAATTTTATTTAATAAATCACTGTGAGAGCAATTACAAAGCTTTCAGGTCTAAGTCTCGGTCATACAATGAAACACCCGTACCTTTACTAGTGCCCATTCTCCACCACCAAAAACCCCAGTATAGCCCCATCCCACACCCTCCCCCTACCTGTGGGGCAGATGATTTCCACATTACTCTCTCTCTACTTTGATCACATTCAATATTTCGACACCAGACCCACCATTATTATTTGAGATTTTACCCCAACACTCAGATCTACTGAAAAGGCAGCAGTAGACAATTTGTGTTCTATTGCTAGTTATGAATAACATATGATGTCGCGTGGCTGCAGTAGGACCATGTGATTTTGAAATTCCGAAATTTAACACTTAAATCTGGAGGGATTTCTGCCAAAAGCCACTGGGTTTTGAGATTTCTCCTGAGTCTCTGGGATCATGGCCGTTGAGTAGCTTGATCAAGAGCCAGAGAGGCCGTTCGTGGGCGATGACTTGGGGTCTCATTGGTGTGGGGAGGACAGGCCCGGCTCCACCCCCATCCCGTGAGGTCCAACAAGTTTCATCACTGCGGGCCCAGATCTGACTGTCCAATAGCCTCTGGAGGATGACGGCCACCGAGCCACCAAGGGGGAGCAGACGGAGGGACAACACCCTTTTCCCCCGGGGGTGGCCCGGCGACAGTAACATACTGCAGGGTGCAGACGCATTTCTGCCAAAAGCCGCTGGGTTTCAAGATTTGTTTCTGAGTCTCTGGGATCATGGCCAAAGGCACAGCAGCAATTTTGGGGTATATGGAAGTCTGAAAGCACCATCAGGCTGCTGATGCACTTGCCTCACATGTATATACTGACACTCTGGCGGCACCATACCCCCATAGGAACCTTTTATTTTGATGTAATTCAGTTATTTATCTTTGCCTTTGTTTTTCTTTTTGATGGAACAGAATCCTTGAACAACCACTTATACAGATATTATGGGGTGTTTTCCTATGTTTTCTTCAATTAATAATACTATAATTTTTAATACTGAAATAAACTTGCATTTTTAAAATAGATATCACTTTGCTGTGGTGTAGTATCTGTTAGTAACTAAACTGCTTTGCTCTTTATTTTTTGAAATATTTATTAATGCCTTGCTACTGTTTTTAGTTACAATATTTTCTTGTTTCTTTATTTCAGTTGGCCAGCAATCTCTGAAGTAACTGTAGCATTGAGCCGGCTCAGTAACATCTCCATTGTGAGACTTGTTGTTACTGTATTTGGCATATGGAATATGACATGAGGGTAGCTTGCCAGGCTTTGCCATGGGGGCGAAATACTCTCGGTAGCTTGCCAGGCTTTCTGAGTGGGGCGGAGTAATCGAACCTGGCTCGGCTGGCGAGCAGCTTGCAAGGCAAACACCCTACCACTGTGCTATTTTTTTGGCATTCATCATGTTAGGTATTAGAACTACTCACCATTAGTAAAATTAATCAACACATTTTATTTCTGTTACTAGATGCTCTATAAACAGAGGTTCCTCAATTTATTTCATGTACCTGCCCTGCCACTTCCTTTCAGGAAAAATCATTCACATCTTTCTAAATAAGTTTCAATAAAAATGATATTGCTTCACACCCCATCCCTCCCCTCTTCCCAACAAAGCATTCAGTGCCCAATCCTGGAAATCTTCCTTCTTTAATGTCAACAAACAAAAAGCACCAAACCTGGATCTTTCCAGTGCTCCCCCAAGGGGGCAGTATTCACTTGGGGAAACACTGCTCTAATCTGAGAATTATTGGGACTAATTGGTTCTTTGTAAACAAATTGTTTTAAGTTTTTTAGA